CAGTTCAAATGGTCAAGGATCAAACTGGTCCTTGCTGGAAAAAAAATAAATAATATTGTGGATATCAGCTGTGGGGCAGCACAGCAGGTGTGGAGCTGGTTTTTAGGAAAGGGCTGCTGCTTGGCATAGCTTGATTCCTGGAAGACAATTAGATTCAGTAACTTGAAAAATTTTTTTACAAGATTCACTCAGTTCCCAGCCGAGCAAGGCAGAAGTGGACGTGATTTTAGATCCCACCCGCTATGACAATTTACCTTGTCGATAGTGAATGTCTTTCCCCACTGCTCTCCCTGCACCGACCGTATCTAAAACCTGCTTGCCAGCTTTCAGTCCCTCCCAAACCCCCAGAGGGCTGCGTTCCTCCATCCGTCCTTCCTCGGGCACGGCAGCAAGCAGGGTATCAGTTGGCAAAACACCGGCAATTTCTCCCAGCTCTGTTTGCTCCCCTCCTGTTGCAGGTGTGAATACCTTTTCTCTCTTCTTTTCCATACACCTATATGTGGTGCACATTACCTTGTGCTGTATATACCAGCCGTGGGTGCATGGGGAGGTGGAAGAAACACGTGAAAAGGGTCTTTACATGTCCACGAGTCCCTGCAGTGCCACTTAGAAGTCACACCAGTGTCCCCCACGAGTGCGTAGCAGGGAGGAAAGCCAAGAGCTCCAGAGTCCAGGTTGCCACAGTAACCCTTGCTCTACTGCCTTTGGCTTTTATGCCACGAAAAACCTTTCACTCTGTAAACACCCAGCTCCGTGGACATGCCTGACACTGATAATATTTGTGGCGGGGCTATTTACTGCCAAGAATCAATGAAGAGCACGCGCAACCGTTGCGTTGCGTCTGAATCCTCCCACAACTTCCAGACTCTCCTTGACACGGCCAAAAAACACCAATAAAGGTAAGTCTGGGGGAGCATTTTGAATCCAGAACGTGTCTCCTTTCTTTTCCCCAATTGCACTTCTGATTCAGCAATGGGGTGGAGGGAATACACTGTCATCGCAAACATATATTATTTCTGTGATGCGTGTTAGTGCATTGTAATGAATATGTGTTTCCCGAAGGCGCAGTTGTTTTTTTTTCTTTGCTGTCACTGTAACGCTGTTTCCTACTCTTCACTGAGATAAAAGGTTTCCCTCCCACCTACCTCCAGAAAAAAAATAATCTGAGTAATGGGAATGACAGAACTCGTGTAATTATTCCCGCTTTGCATGTTTCCAGGTTGATTGCCTGAACTAGGGCTGATCCAAATTCCCACTGAAGCCCATGAGAGCCTTTTCACTGAAACAACAGTTTGGTTTTGGAGGAGCTTTTCGGAGGAGCAGGCTCGAAGCCAGGTGAGTGCCAGTAGCATTGCTCCGTGGCTTCGGTGGAATAAGGACAATGTAACCCTGCTGAGGATGGGGCTTGGTAGTTTCACTGCTCATAAATGGTGACTGCTGCTGCATTTAGGCACAGGTACAAAGATTTTTTTTTTCAGAGCTAATATATATGTGTATATATATAAATACATAAATTGGCAGGCAATATGTGGAGTACATATGAATTATAAAGCCAAGATATTTTCCATTCAGGAAAATTAAGGAATATTTCCCTTTGAGATGTTCTTGCTGTTGCTTCATATCCCAGTCATAGAAATATTGCAAGTGTTTCACCAGTTTTACCTCTCTGCTATCCCAAATGTGAGCTCACCAAAGGAATTTCAGAGGGCTGCGTGAACTCTCATTTCTCCCCCCTGTATTCATACACATCTATAACTCTTCTTTAGTCAGTGTTCCTGTTGATTTGCTGGGAATATTTTCCTCTTAAAATATCTTGCAGCAGTATTTTTTTGCATATCGTAGACAAGTTTGAATACCCAGCCATTTATGTGTCTGGTAAAGATAGAGACTGTTGTCTTGCGAATCGTCTTTGTGCAGGCAGGTCACACTTGAATGGGTGGAATTACATGTGCCCAGGTCATAAACTATTTTATGTATTTGTTTAGGAACTGTACAGAATTTTTGCAGATGGTCAGCTAATTAATTTTAACAGAATGTCTTATGTTCACTTTTGGACTTGAACAGCATAAAATCTTTATTTTCAAATGAGGCCTTTCTGTCCCCACACAGGAAAAACGCATTGCCCTGCAATTACCAAGCAGCTAGCGACAACGGTGAAAATGTGGTGAAATTAAGGAGAATTATAAATTGGTCTTTAGCAACTGAGTATTTCCCCATAGACCATCTGCTTTGTTTGTGGGCTTTACCATGGATGCCCACTTTGCCCAGCTGTACCTCTGTAACAGCATTTCAGCCCCAAATTTTTCCAAATTTCCAAATTTTCCCATTTGGAAGATGTCCAAAGTAGGCTTTTGACAGTGTGATGGACAGCTCTCATTAGAAAGCGTGAAATGAAACTGTCTCAGGGTCCAGCCAGCAATGATGATACCCCATTACATATTACACTGTCGTACTTCCCTTCGGCAATGACAGCGTAACGTGATGGCAATTATTAACTGGTTGATCATGGGAGCATTTATCCGCACAAAAAAGCCAGTAAAACAGAATATATCCAATTTCTAGATAGGACATTGAAATGAAGAGGGAAAGATTAATGTCCTGGGTCTCCAAAGGCACTCTGGGTGAACATTACATACCGATTTGGGAAGCGCCGGAATATTTTTGCGGCAGTGTGTGCAATGGTCAGATGCAGAGCGAGGGAGGTTGTGCACTTCTTGCAAAGTTAAGCTGCAAAAGTAAAAATCCCAGGCACAAGCAAATGCCGGGTGTCTGAGCTCCCTGGGAGGCTGCTGAGAGGCAATCCCTACCTCCCGGATGATTTTGGGAGGGAGCCAAAGCCCTGTGCCCTGCGGTGGGGTGGACCCGCTCTGCCAACCGTTGCAGGAAGCAGTGGTGTTGCATGATAATATGGTGGTTTGAACTTTCAGGAAGGAGGGAAAAAAACCCCCAAACCCCAACATTTGCTGATATTCGTGGCTGGGATGGATCACGCAGCCACCTCCAGCTCTCCAGGAGGGTGCCCTGACCAGGGACAGCCCCACGGCTGCTGGGGGGTGGCTGCAGCCAGAGTACCCCAGGCTGGGGACGGAGCCGCTGGCTTTGCCCCTGGGGAGGAGAGTTGTTTCTGATCCTGTTCCTGCTGAGCCAAATTTCTTGTTTGCAACCACTTACATGTGACCCTGCTGGTGCTGTCTTCCCTCCGGTCCGATAAGAGTCGTTTTGGGCAGCGCTTGTGGGAGCTGGGGAGGGAGAAAAATCAGACACGGAAGGAATGAATGCGAATTGCAGCTGTGTCTTGCGGGCGTGAATTGCTCCAAATACTCAGCACGGAAAGGGCTGGGGTCTGCCGACCCTTTGCATGAGCTCCCTTCTCTGCCCAGGACAGGGAGACCCCCTCCTTGCCTGCCCATGGGGACGGGGCAAAGCTGGCCAAAGAGCTGTTACCCGAAATGTTTGGTAACTGGTTCACTGGCTGCAGCAGCCCTGGGCAAGGTGGGCAGTCGGATACGCAAAGCTCCCAGACTGTTAACCAGGCTGCTGGCTTCTCCTCCAGCCCCTTCTCCAGCTACCAGGACAAGCAGCGTTTGTGCATACACACCATCTCGCTCTCCTTGTCTTCTTCGTCTTCCTCATCAGTGCTCTCCAGCCCTCCTCATCTCCAGATGCCAGCAAAGCCACTGCTACCACGGCTCAGAGCCTCCCCAGCTGCTCGCCAGCCCTCGCAGACCCAGCCACCGGCACGTTCAGAGAAACCGGCGCGACTCTCCGCTTTCCGATCTGCAGGACTTTCTCCTCAACATTTTCGTAGTTTGACGACGCTGCTGGCATCTCCAGGAGAGGTGGCCCACAAGGTGGAGGCAGTAACAGCACAGACAACTTCACCTTCCCAACGCGCACCTTGGAGCCTCGCGCTGGGGTGGCAGAAGGAGCTATAGGGTGTCCCCACGGCACCGTGACCACACTTCAACGAGGATCCCACCCTGACGTGTCCCACTGCAGCTGTCAGGATTCATGGGAAAATAACAGCCAGATGTACGAGCATGTTTTTCATCAAAGCAGTTACTTAAAATGGTTTCTTTTTTTTTGCTTCAAACCCTCTATGAGATAAAGCCATTCATGTAGAAAAGCCGATTGTTCCCCTTGTAATGGAATTTAACTGAATTACGACCACTTACGTGTAAGAGATTTACGCTGAAACCCTCAGGACTGGAAGGCCCTACAAACCAGCGTGGTCTCCTAAGTCTGCATTAACACCCTTGGAGTTAGCTTGGGTGAAAAACCTCATATTGGTAGGGTAAGGATAAGCAGAGGAGATAATTTTTGACACTCACCAGCCCTCAGAAAGATGCCTTAGACAGTAGAAACACTAAAATTGAGATTTGGTCTCTTCCTCACTGAGAAAAAGCCATGCAATGTCCTGCACAGCTACTCCCTTCTGGAGTCCCATGGGCAAAAGTTGCTGCTGTAGTTGCAGGCTCATCTTTTGGCCGGTGGGGTGGACACCACCAAAACTGCGTGTGATGGATGCTGCGGATACAAATCCAGAAAGATATGTAGCCACAGGTATTTGAGACCTGTAATTACATAAGGAAGGCAATGAATATAAAGCATGAGGGAGTTCTGCCATTATGAATATGTTTATAGGCCGTGAATATTATTTACAAGTCTTGCATTAGGGCAGCCTACATCTATTAAATTCCCTTCGGAAATGAAAGGCTAGAGCCGGCCACTCCGCTCAGGGTGTGCAGAATTTCCTTTTCCAGTGACTCAGAGCTCTGCAGGGTGGGAGAATCTGACCTTGTGTAAGAATTTATGATTTTATGTTAATTCCATTTAAAACACCTTGATTGTTTTATTACTTTAAAAGACTCTCTTCTCTCCTCCCCACCAAAACCAGATAGTTAAGTAGAATACCACATAGTTTGTATATTAAGCATCCAGAAAATATAATATAGTAGAAAGGAATGGAATAGAATAGAATAGAATAGAATAGAATAGAATATACCTTGCTTTGTTATACAGCCCACGACAGAGGTCATTGTAGAGGGGAGCTGTTTAACGGTGAGCAGACACTTGACTATTACCCCAAACAGGGCACCCTATGATTTTATTTCACCAGGCAAATATTGCAGCATATAATACTCTGTTAAAGCAGGGAGGAATGGATATTTGATGCAGCCTCTCAGGAGAGTTAGGATGAGAGAAGGCTTTCAGTAATAAATTAAATGCTGCCGGCAGTTTAAATTTGTAAATAAATAAAAGTGAGTGCAATTACATTGAGGGTCTTCTGGAAAAAGCTCAACCAGCTTCAGCTCCTGCCTGGTTGGGAAACTGTGTTACAGTGTCAAGGTGGACAGCAATAACCTCGCCAAGGAGATTCCCATTTGCACCTTCACCTCGTGGTCATGCTTCCCACAAGCCAGCCAGCCCAAGTTGGGCTTTGCCCTTCGTTATCTTTTGGGACGGATGCAGGCACGTCATGGCCACATTACCCAGCAGCCGTGATTGCAGTTTATTGCCCCACCAAACCTGAAATTAGCCTCAATGATCTGGCACAAAGCTGAAATGCAAACGGACTCTGGCAAGGCTCCTGGGTCAAGATCAGCCTTTTCTTACCTTTAGTGCACATTGAGTGAGCTTTGCCCTCTGATGGCCTTGGGCACGCCTTGGCAGAATGACACCTCATGGTTTTAATGGCTTGAGGAGGAAAATGTGCAGGATGAGAAGAAAAAGGAGAGTGATGCAGGAATGACAGCATAGGATAGTGAGTTGGGATGAGAGTTTGAAAGACATGGGAAGAAAATGTTCAATATCAGAGCTACGTTATAGGGAGAGGAGTTGAGAAAAGCTGAGTATCAAAGGACCAGGAGAAATGGGTTTTGCTCCTACTTGGTTAGAAAACACTTTTAACGGGACCCCAAAGTTAGCTGAAACAGATGCCCAACCACTTCACATGTTAGCCCCAGGGAGCACGGCAAGTGTCCACTTCTGGCACCATCTCTGGTTCCAGTTGACTCTGGGCAAGGAGCAGGGCTGGGTCTGCTCACACATCGCACAGCAACGGGTCCTTGGGCTTCTTTTCAGTACAGTTCCCACCAAGACTGTGGGTCTGCCTGCTCAGCTTTTGGCTTCTCTTTGTCAAAGAGACAACACAGCTTCCCTGTGGGAAGAGAAGGGATTATTCCATGTAGAGCAAGATCCTCCCAGGAATATGAGCTTTCTCTTTGTACCAAATTGGGTCTACCCAGAGGAGCCTGACGAGGACAGGTAATCCATTCCCTTCAGTGCCTCTTGGCTTGGGCATCGGTTCTCACTTGTGGGGTCAAACACTGGCCACTGATGGGATGATAAAGAGCCAAATTTTGATATGGGAGTGGAGCTGTGTAATGGGTTACCACAGACATCTCTGTCTGGTCTGATTTATTGTCTTTGCTAATTATTCCAATAAATCAGTGTTCGAATGAATCTTGCGGTTGACACTAAATGTGAAGGACTGGAACTACTCCTGGGGAACAAGCAGGAAAGAATCCAGCTGTATATATGAGAGAATTAATAAGACTTAGCTTGGCAAAATGCAAGCAAAATTTGTATATACAAAAGCAGTATGAAATACACTGGAAGGATGGAGCTCCCTATGCGTTAGCAGTCCATAGTCACCACTTTGCCAATAGCATCTTCACCACCAAAACATCCTCAGGTGCTACCTGTGGGCAAAGACCAAAGAAGACACACTGCTGTCCCAGTGCTTTCTTACATTCTATGAAATTTACTGCAATTAAAAAAAAGCACGTAAATCAGAGAGAGCAAATTAAGCAAAGGCAGCACTGAAGTTCTTGTGTGCGCTGATTGTGGCAAGGGGTTGCAGGTGCAAATAACTGTGCCGAAACCTTGGTACTTTCCAGAAACAGTGCAAAAACCTTCTCAGATTGAATGCATGCAAGACTTCTTCCACACATTTCCAAACAAATACTTACCTAATACCTAGGAAAAATAAATATATATATACCCAAGTGCATTCAGCTAGCTACTGAAACAAAAAAATACCCTTTTTGTCAGAGCCCAAGCTAGCCATTGCAAAAAGCATGAAACAAATGCAAATGAGAAGCAGACTCTGCTCTAATAACGACTAGGTTTTGCATGCGTGTTGAATCAGTACTGTTGGTTTTGCTTGCTCACTGCAGCTCTCGTGCTCCACCCTTCTGGTTTATTTGTGTTTTTTTTTTTTTCTTCCAGCTTTTGCAATCTGACAGACGCGGGTGAAAGCAAGTCAAGAGAAAAGACGTTCCCCTGAAAAGGAGCTGGAGAGCAGCCCTCAAGCCCTGTCTGCGCTAGGTGAAGGAGAGCCAGCCAGCCACACCACTGGCTTTAGCCTAAACCCACCCCCCCCTAAGACGCCGAGATACACTAGTGGTTGAACTGATTTTCCAGGTAAGACTTTCTTTTTTTAAACCCTGAATCTTGGTGGCGGAGCGCACCCTAACCAGGAAGTTAAATGTCTTTGAACACAAAACACGGCAAAAAAATGGTGTAATGACAGAGCGGGGAATGAATGCTCAGCTGCTCGGTGTAATAGATACACTGGTTTATTTACTCAGCAGTCTCGAGCAGATGGGGCATTCGTGCTGCCTGACTTATTTCAGATACCACACTTGAAAGAGCCTTATAAACTCCCACAAGAGATGGACAGACAGACAGGAAAACCCCACACCAAGGTTTTCCCTTTAAGTAAAAGTTACTGTAAGTGTTTTGCCTGCTGTGATAAAGTGAAAGAAAGGGAGAAAGAAAGGGAAAAACAGCTGGTGACGCCGGTTTAAAGTTCACACGGCAAGAACTATGTTTCTGCCAAGTTTTCAAAAATGAATAGAGTTGTAGTTCTGGGGCTTTGGGGAAAAGTTTGGGAATGAGCCAAAAGCTGAACAAATAGAATCTCCCAAATAATCATCTGATGCTCTTAACCTGATGGTAGATCATTCAGGCCTGCTTGTTAGATGTCAGAGATGTGGCAGTGGCCATAATGCAATAGTTACAGATTTCTGTTACGCTTCTGACCTAGGAAATGTGGGTAGTCAAAACCGGGTGTATTGGGCTTGCGTGGCAAGGTTGGGTGTTTTTTTTGGGTGGAGGGGGCTACAGGGATGGCTTCTACAAGAAACTGCTAGAAGCTTCCCCTATATCCGACAGAGCCAATGCCAGCCGGCTCCAAGACGGACCCACCGCTGGCCAAGGCTGAGCCCATCAGTGACGGTGGTAGCGCTTCTGGAAGAACAGATTTAAGATGGAAAAAAAGTTGCTGGGGCACAGAAACTGCAGCCAGAGAGAGGAGTGAGAAGATGTAAGAGAAACAACTTTGCAGACCCCCAGGTCGGTGAAGAAGGAGGGGGAGAAGGTGCTCCAGGCGCCGGAGCAGAGATTTCCCTGCAGACCATGGAGGTCCACGGTGGAGCAGATCTCCACCTGCAGCCCGGGGAGGACCCCACAGTGGAGCGGGTGGGTGCCCGAAGGAGGCTGTGACCCCGTGGGAAGCCCACGCTGGAGCTGGCTCTTGGCAGGACCTGCAGCCCCATGGAGAGAGGAGCCCGCGCTGGAGCAGGTTTTCTGGCAGGACTTGTGACCCCACGGAGGACCCACGCTGGAGCAGTGTGCTCCTGAAGGACTGCACCCCGTGGAAGGGACCCACGCCGGAGCAGTTGGATGCCCCCAAAGACGGCCGTGACTCCACGGGAAAGCCCGTGCTGGAGCAGTCTGTTCCTGAATGACTGCAGCTCGCAGAAAGGACTCACGCTGGAGAAGTTGGTGGAGGACTGTCTCCCACGGGAGGGACCCCACGCTGGAGCAGGGGAAGAGTGAGGAGTCCTGCCGCTGAGGAGGAAGGAGCGGCAGAGACAACGTGTGATGAACTGACCGTAACCCCCATTCCCCGTCCCCCTGCGCCACTGGGGTGGAAGAGGGAGAGAAAATCGGGAGTAAAGTTGAACCTGATAAGAAGGGAGGGGTGGAGGGAAGGTGTTTTAAGATTTGGTTTTATTTCTCACTACCCTACTCTGGTCTGATTGGTAATAAAGTAAGTTAATTTTCCCCAAGTCGAGTCTGTTTTGCCCGTGATGTAATTGGTTGAGTGATCTCTCCCTGTCCTTATCTCGACCCACAAGCCTTTTGTTATATTTTCTCTCCCATGTCCAGCTGAGGAGGGGGAGTGATAGAGCGGCTGCGTGGTGCTTAGTTACTAGCTGGGGTTAAACCACGACACTGGGTCACCCTCTGCTTCTGCCACGATATTGTGCCAGATGGAAATTTTTCATTTTCATTCCTTTGTTTATATGCTGAAAGTATCTTTCCAAAGTTCCCATGCAATTTCATCAAATTGAGAATTTAACCCTGTAGGAACAGTTAGGACTTTTCTTATGATTTTACCTTAAGAATCGTATACAGGAACTTGAGAACATTTTGGGACCTCTCGGGTCAGTAATCTGAGCAACATTCCTCCATACTCAGAGATGTCTGAAATTCCGCAGTGCCTGCGCAGGAATAACAAAAGTACTTGGCTACATCAAAATCCCTTTCTTGTTTCCTTACCATCAAGGGCTGCAAGGGCTCGAGCTGCTTTCCACCCCCGTGTTTGTGAAACACAGCCTCCGGCTGAGCCCTTCTGCCGTGGACGGGGGGTGATGCCTGGTCCCTTACTCACGGGCAGGCACCCGCTGCTGGGGAGACTGAGTTGAAGAAGCAAATGCATCCCCCAAAATGATGCCAGAAAATGTGAAATCTCCTGAAACTTGTAGTTTTGGCCCAAACTTTAGTTTTCTCCTGCTGCTGGCGTAGGGCTGTGATCAGCAGAGCTGGAAAGCTAAGCTGTGCTGCTGGGAGGCGGCTCACAGCAGCTGCAGCAAAAAATCTCCCACGGCCTTTTCTGCCCTAAAAAAAAAATCTTTCTGCGCTCCAGGTCACATCTGCTACCGCCAGCATGGAGAGCAGGAGCAGGTGAGGCCAGCTCGTGCCAGGCTGCCTAAATAATAGAGGAAATACCACGGCAGGGCATATTTATTTCAGATTTGGTTTCAGAGGAGGCTCTGGATTGCTCCGCAAGAGTGGGAGGTTTGTTTTCTGCTTCCGCTTTGCTGAGTCAAACCGCAAGTAATGTGGTTCAGATCTGGAGAGTCTCAGTTCCTATAATTTCTAACAGGGAAACAGCGCTGGTACTGTTTTTCTTCCTTCCTATGGAGATTTGTAGCTTTGCCGGGCAGGAACTCTCTACTGAAATGTGCTTAGCACGGCTGGAGCCTCTCATCACAGCTGTAAAGAAACAATTAAAAATAACATTTGTGCTCATCAGCAGTGTCCCATTGGCTTCCCTTGGTGCTAATACTCACGCTCAGCTGCCTTTGGTAGGGCTGTTAGTCAAATCCTGCTCCTCTTCTGAGCAGGCTGCCCATACTGATGAGCACCCTGTTATAAGGGATGGGGAAGATCCTTCCGTCACTTCTTACACAATCTATTATTTTTTTCCACCCTTCTCTCAGAGGCGGCATGGACATCAAGGAATATTTTGCCAGAACTTCTTACCAGGGCTCCTATGATAAGCTGGACCTGGCTACCTTGACGGATATATTGCAGCACCACATCCGAGCAGTCCCTTTCGAAAATCTCAGCATCCACTGCGGGGAATGCGTTGAGCTAGACCTGGAAGCGGCTTATGACAAGATAGTGAGGAAGAAACGCGGGGGCTGGTGTATGGAAAACAACCAACTTTTATCTTGGGCCCTGAAAACTGTTGGCTACGATGTCACCCTTCTGGGAGCAAAAGTTTATGTCCCGGAGTATGACGTGTATGCACCCGAAATGGATCATCTGCTGCTGAAAGTGGTGCTTGGCGACAAATCCTACATCGTGGATGGCGCCTTTGGGATGGCCTACCAGATGTGGCAGCCGATGGAGCTGATTTCTGGGACAGACCAGCCGCAGGCTCCCGGGGTCTTTCGCTTCCTGGAGAAGAGCGGGGTCTGGTACCTCGAGAAGGTGAAAAGGAAGCAGTACACTCCTGACCAACGCGTCTCCGCTTCCCATAACTTGGAAGAAGAAGGTTGCCGTCCAGTTTATCTCTTTACCCTTCAGCCACGAGACATCGAAGAGTTCCGAGCCTGCAACACGCGTCTGCAGACAAAGGAGGCCTCGCTCTTCGTGTCCAAGTCTATCTGCAGCCTGCAGACCACCGACGGCATCCGGGCTCTGGTGGGGTGGAAATTCACCGAGATGAAGTACAATTATAAGGATAATATGGATCTGGTGGAAATCAGAATCCTTGCAGATGAAGAAATAGAGAAAACACTGAAAGAGAAATTCAGTCTAACACTAGACAACAAACTTGTACCCATCAATAGAAGCAGGCCGCATCCATCTGAACTCTTTGCCTGAATTATGTATAATTCAATCCAGTGGCATTACATGCAATCCTTCCCCCTATTTCTGACAAACGCCTAAAGGTTAAGCTTTCTCTTGCCATCTATACCAGTGTAAGGCAGAACATATTAGTATGAATCTGGAAAAAGAAATTGATTTTCACAACTGCTCCTGCATCTCTCTTTGGTTTGGGTACAAATAATTTCTTCCTAGCTCAATCAAATCACTACCCTTCTCTTTGTGCTTAGCTGGAAGCAGACTCTGCCCATTCCCTACTCCTTTCGTCTCTTAAAAGCTTTTCTAAATACACCCAGAGTAGCAGGGTAGAGCGATGGAGCTGTATGTCTCTTTATTACTTTGTGCTGCCACCTGGGGAAAATCGTACCCACCTCTTAAATGAATTCCATATTATTTTTGGACTTTAATAGCCAGAAAAACAAAGACATCCATTGCTGAGTTTGCTCCAGTTAAGCCATAAGCCTGTCCTTTTTGCTCTTGCATTCATAACACCCTCCCGTGCGACAGTCAGACAGTTCCATGCCTGTGCTACACCATGAGAATATTTATGGATGGGCTATTTATGGCCTAAAACTGATGATGAGAAATATTAGTGGACAATTCTGTCTTGGTCCAGAGTTTACATGACTCCTGTTCTCTCAGTGCCATAATCAAAAAGCAGGATTTCTTTGAACTGAAAGCATCTCCCGTGCATTTTGTTTGCTACCACCCGGCAGCAGACTGCTGGGAATACGTGCTCCTCTCGTAAGACTCTACTCTGAGTGTTATTGCACATTAATTATTGTGGCTGAACTCAAATACATGCGCAGAATAATTTTTCTGAAACATTTCTGTTCTACTGAGGATGTGTTTGCAGTGATACTAATTATATTGATATAAGGAGAAACGATGAATCTTAATCAGATACCTAAAGGCTAAGATCCTTAGTGTGAGAAATTACTCAAATGTGATCACTTTGCCCTCTGAGAAGATGCTTCATGTTCCTTTATGTACAAATCTTGGAAGCATTACAACTATGCACTCACAATTAAGTAAATTATATAAGTGAATAACAATTAAATAAAAAAATCAAGAATTGTGAAGTAAAACTATTCGGCTGGTTTTTTTCCCCCCCAATTACAACGTGTATCCCCAAAGTAAAACATTTCATTAATCACTGCGGTTGTCTTGATTATTTGTATGTGCTAGTATTTTGCAGCTAAGGCTTTTAAAAATATAGTAACTCACTGACCCCTTTTTATTTGTTACGTGATATGTGCAGCTTTCTATAACTAGCAGTTTATAGTTAATAAAAGCTATTCTGCACATTCACAACGTATTTCATAAAGACACTGAGTTCCCCAAATGCCCATCTTCCCAGAGTCAAATGCACCCATATGCGCTTGGCTGCATGTGTGTAATAGTCCCTTTTAGCGCATGAGGCTCCCCCATCCCATAGGGAAATGAAATGTTAATCACTGACCCTGTAGTGGACTGCAGAAAGAAAAGGGGCTTCTTCCAGCATGGACCAGCAGCTTGCAACACAGATTGTCAGAAGAAACTGGCCCAGGATCTGGCTCGTTTGCAAGCTGTATCCTTCTTTGTTCCCCGCGTTAGCGGAAGAGCTAAAGGAGCAAAACTCGGTGGCTTTATCCTTGCAGCAGCCTGGCAGCTGGGGCAAAGCATCGGGATGGAGGTAAAAGCCCAGCCAGGTCTCGCGGAGGTGTGGGGCAGGACAAGGTCCATGCAGAGCCAAGAAGCTCCATCATTTGTGGGAACAGACATGGGAAACACCTAGAAAAGTCTGCGCCCGTTCCTCTCCCTGAGCCTGGATGTTGTGCTTTGGGCTGTTTCATAGGCTCAGGGGAAGGACTAGGGTGTTATGTCCATTGCCCCCCAGATTCAGCATGTGAAGGGCAAACAATAATAGGAAAAACCACTTTCCTTTCAGCTGACTCATCTCCTCGAGCGTGTGCCCCGTCCGCCGCTCTGGCTGCTGCCCGCTTTGTGGCACAGCTCAGCGCTTCTGGACCTCCCGCTCAGCCCACCCACGAAAGCAGATTTTATTGCTGAGCAATCGAATGAAGCTCTCTGTTGGAAGGGGAAAAAAAAAAAAAAAAGTCTCTTCATCTCAGCTTGCACTAGTTTGCTTTTTCCTTATCACTAACTTTGGAGGCAAATCCTTAAAGGCATAGCAGGCTCGGGGAGCGCAGCGCTCTCTGGGAGGAGCAAACTCACTGCCAAAGGACAGGGCTTCTCTTTGAACCTAAGGGGATTTAAACAGCTAAATGACTTGGCAAATCTGACCTTGTTGCTTTGGGGGTCTGGTATCAGCCACAAAGAATAGCTCAGTGCGGTGTGATTCATTCAACAGTTGTCATCCCCCACCAATAAATCAGTGGCTTCTTGGCTTCGATTACTATCTACCATAAGTCACTTCCTACAGGGATCCAGGCCACACGAGTGTCAAGAACGTAAAATCTGTATCAAAATTTGCACTATTGCTTTGCTGCTTCAGCATGGGTGCAGCCGTGAAGGCGCCCCAGAGACTGAAGCACCTGGGTGACCTGCGGGGTTGAGGATGGGGTTATAACCACTTACAAAAGTTGCTTGAGATACCCGTATTGTATTTCTCCTTTGCACTCCTGGAGGGGTTCAGTTCTAATCAGTAACGCAGGAGGTTAAAATCTACTCAATATGGTAAGAAATTTGAGGACTGGATCTCTTTCAGGCTCTCTGTACAGCACCTAACACAATGAACTGCGTGACAGGGCTTTCTACGCATATGTCAGTACAAATAAACAAATAAAACCATCAGAATATAAAATATTATAAAAGAAGAAATTCTCTCCCCTCTTTTCCTGTTCTGCTGGAGGATAACGCTGTCCCTGCCAGGCAGTAAAGGCAGCCTGGACCTTTAAGAGCAGCAGTTCCCAGTACAACGCTTGCTGGGAACTTCGGAGCAAACTAGGGCGGAAAGCCTGAGCTCGCTGGCTGAGAGGTAAGCAAGCACCCAAGTGTCTGACCTTTAAATTCATCCTGCAGCTGCGGGTCAGACTATTTGGAAAAGCCCACCCCTGTGGGTCCACATACCATGTGCTTAGCACTGCAGGCATATTAGCAAAGTATAAATTACAGCGACCCTGGGGCCAACAGCACAGGTTGCATTGCAAGGACGTTGTCCAAGTACAAAGATCAAGCGCTCGAGATTTAAACTAACCCTTTTATGCTGAGCCAGAGTGTATGAAAACTCCAGCTACTGACTCGCAGTGTAGCTTAAAATCAAACAAATGGTGTAGGCACGTGCAAGAGGATCCAACCTTGGAAGCCTCTCATGAATTTTAGCAGAGAAGAACGGTTCCTAACATTCAGCCTAGTTACGAAAGGACACAGTGATCCCCAGGGATGCTTGCAGACAGGCAGAACCAACGTCTGAATTTCACTACTGTCCTCGTTTCAGCTGGGATAGAGTTAATCTTCTTTCTAGTAGCTGGTATACTGTTATGTCTTGGATTCAGTATGAGAAGAATGTTGACAACAGACTGATGTTTTCAGTTGTTGCCAAGTAGTGTTTATACCAAGTCAAGGATTTTTCAGCTTCTCATGCCCAGCCAGCAAGAGCTGGAGGGGCACAAGAAGCTGGGAGGGGACACAGCCAGGGCAGCTGACCCAAACTGGCCAAAGGGGTATTGCAGATCATGTGATGTCATGCCCGGTATATTATTGCGGGAGAGTTGGTCTGGGGGGATCGCTGCTCGGGAGCTAACTGGGCATCGGTCGGTGAGTGGTGAGCAATTGCATTGTGCATCACTTGTTTTGTATATTCCAATCCTTTTATTATTATTGACATTTTATTATTGTTATTACTATCATTATTAACTTCCTCCTTTCTGTTCTACTAAACTGTTCTGACCTCAACCCATGAGTTTTACCTTTTCTCTTCCAATTCTATCCCCCATCCCACTGGGTGAGGGGGAGGTGAGTGAGCAGCTGTGTGGTGCCTAGTTGCTGGCTGGGGTTAAACCACGACAACTACCCACCAAGCTGCACGAATGCTGAATGAAGCTCGGCTGCCGCAGGAGCAAAAGTAAACAAGGCTGAGATCCCGACTGAGGCTTGAGATACTTGGCAACTCAGTTTTAGAATGCAAACTGTCCCCTGGGGTGAGGGCTTGCTTGCTGCTGCAGCCCTGTTGCTAGCATGGTGGGAATGGTTGTGTCAAGAAGCAAAGCTGCCTCTGGGAAGGCGAGGGAGTAAACACCAGTTTACATAAACGCTCCCTAAGGCCAATGATTTTGTACCACAGCTTTATTATACTTAAACCTCTCTAAGTATTCATTGAGATAAGAGCCCGTTTTGTCAGCCACCACAAGGCTGTCTTTACTATACAGACTTTAAATTGATGAGGGCAGAGAATGCAGAGCTAGGGAAACTGAGGCACGGGCTGCGAATTTCCAAAAAACATGTTTTCCTGAAGCCTCCTTGCCAGCATCCCATGGAAGCTCTCGATGGGGAGGTTGCTCATGGCTGGAAGAGGGGAGCTGGGTATATGCTGCAGTCTCGCCGGGGCGATGGGGACACCCAGACCCAGGAGACAGGTTATACGGAGGGCATCAGGTCTTCTGCTGCTGACCCAGAGCAGGGAATGATTGGTTTTTTTCCTGAAAGCAAATTTCAAGCATATCAGATCCTCCAGGCTAATTAATGGACTTGCTTGGGCCTCTCCTGGTCACAGAGGTTCAGCTTGACACTGTCACAGGGAAAAGGTGCTGCTTCTATCTGGCTATGCAAAATGGCTAAAAGTGGGAATAGAAAGAAAAATGAGGCAGAGGACCACAGGATGAGCTTGCCAGTGTACACGTGTGCTGTCTGTTGGGGAGGGAATGGCTTTCTACAACCAGCGTTTCCAAGGAGATCCTGCCAGAGATGAGTGCCCTTGTCCTAAAAAAGGGATGGAAAAAAAACCCATAAAATGCAGTATCAAAGACACATTACTGTTTTTTCATGTAGCCTCTTTGGGTCCTTTTGAAGTGAAAATGTTTATTTCTTATTCCCTTATTGGGATAGTCTTCTATTTTATTACATTTTCCTGTGTTTTTGCATCAGCCAGTCTGAATCCTGGTACCAGTGCAGATCAGGAGCAACACAACTAAGTCAAGTGAGTTGTGCTGCTGGCATCAAAATTGGGGTTAAAGTCTAGAGATTGGGTCATCTGATGTGCTCACCTGCTGGGGTGGGGCTATTTCCACCTACATATTTTAGGTGGGATTTTCAAAAGCTCCCAGCATTCACTTGAGTGCTGGCATGGATATTGGGTCAAACTGCTGGTTGCTCCTAGGGCAGCAGTTGGACCAAAGCTGAGAATAGTCACGGGAAGGTAATCTCTCCCATCTCATCTACAACAAATTATTTTTGGAAAATCCTCCCAGGGAACGTGTGACTGATTTCAAGGAGCAAGAAATCCTGAGACCTTTTGGAAATTAATACAGTCCTTAGCAGATTGTGAATTGTTCTGGAAAACAAACACCCTTGCATGGAAAAAAGCCAAATTAAATCTAAATTAAAGGAGAAAGAAATCCTTGCAGATACCAGATGAGTCAGTGGATTAGAAGTGTTACAGGGAACCTTTTGCATCTTGGCCACACAGCCAGTACCAATGGTGGTCTCTTTCAGCTAATGAAAGGAAAAGGGATCAGAGACATGAACACACAAAATAGATCCAATAATCTGAGCTGAAACTAAGGCCTTTGTTTTGTAAAAGATGGTAAAAGAAACCAAAAGCCGCTGAATATGCCGTGAATGTATCCTTAGTAATTATCAATTTCTCTGACCCTTAGGTTAGAAAAATTAAGTTCCTTCCTTTTAACAGCCAGGGTCAAAGCTCTCTCTGAACTCCACAGGGAAACTAAAGTGATTAAGAAAACAACAATCTACTTCACGTAGATGCTTGTCTAAAATGGTGGCACACTGAGATGTTAATCCCAGTTAACTAAAGCCACGAATGTAAAACCTTCCAGTTAAATTACCTGTGGGATAAATAAAGAATTGCTTACCTGTTACGGTAAAAGAAACAGTAAGAAATTGCTTTGAATTTTATGCCGGTATGGTGTAGCAGCTTTTCTGCAAACCTGTTTGTCAGTTTTATAAATTTTTTGTCATGTGGGACCCTCATCCAGGGACAGAGACTCTGTTGTGCCACGTGCCGTGTCTTCCCATAGGAAAGACATCCACCTGGCTTGAAGGCAACATCTGAGAGAGAGAAAGCATTACTGTCACTTGCTCCTATCCTCGTCTCTTTTTTAAGAAATAGAGATGACACAGGCAGGTCTAGCCTGCATTCATCTCCTATCAAGGGCACAGGTTTCTTTCAAATCCTCAATGAAATGGCCTAGGCTGGTTAATCTGTGCTACAGAAATAGGAGTAAACCCCTTGAGAGCCGCACAACAGTAACTGGCTATTTTTCTGCTCACACAGGCAAAATGAACATTCAAGAGTATTTAGCAAGAATTTCTTACCATGAGTCCCATCAGGATGCAGACTTGCAAACCTTAACAGTCATCTTCCAGCATCACATCCAGGCAATTCCTTTTGAAAACCTCAGCATGCATTGTGGGGAGACCATCGAACTGGATTTACAATCTATTTACAATAAGATTGTGAGAAAGAAACGTGGTGGATGGTGCCTGGAAAGCAACTACCTTCTGTTTTGGGCCTTGCAAGAATTAGGGTATGACATCTGTATTCTTGGAGGAAACAGTTATGAACCTGCCACGAAGACATACACTTCTGAGATAAATCATATCCTACTGAAGGTGGTGATCAAGGGAAATTCCTACATAGTAGATGCGGCTTTTGGCGGTGCCTACCAGGCGTGGCAGCCATTGATGTTGATTTCTGGGAAGGATCAAGCCCAGACCCCTGGCATCTTCCGCTTCATGGAAGACAACGGCACCTGGTACTTTGAGAAAGTGAAAAGGAAGCATTATATTCCCGAGCAGCAAAGTGTCCCTTTCACTGATACTCCAGAACTGGGGAATATCAGAAAAATATATACATTCACTCTCAAGCCACGACATATAAATGACTTCCAGGAGCTAAATGCATACCTACAAGTGTCTCCAGATAACATACTTAGGAAGAAGTCGATCTGCACTCTCCAAACCACTGAAGGGCTTTATGCCTTAGTTGGATGGACCTTCACTGAGATGAAGTATAACTACATGGAGGACATGGACCTGGTGCAGATCACAACTCTTACAGATGAAGAGGTTGAGAAAACACTGAAAGACAAATTCAATATAGTGCTGGAGAACAAACTCGTACCAGTAAACGTTCGTGGCTTGCCACCTAATTTAGTGGATACAATCTAATTCTAATGCTGTGCTAGATGGTCTTTAAATATGCAATATAAAAAGTTCTAGAATTAACATTAATAACATTAATCCGATTCTAAAGCTGAGCTAGTCAGATGAACTAAGCTTGGTAAATTCAGGTACATTGCCAATTAACTGCACATATCAATTGCATATTTTTTCTTGAGCTTCTCCTTCTTTAGAAACTGAGACATCTTACTACCTCTAATTTGCTCATATGGAAATTGCTTTTTGACTCCATAAGGTTTTGTTCCACCTCTCTGGATCTGATTTTATTTCAGATATATTTTGTGGCAAAGGAGACCAAAATGATACAGAAGGAGAAGCTGTGTTACCATTTTACACAAAAGACCTCTAACCTTTTTAGGTATTATTTCCAGCCTTCTCAACAGAGTTTGAAAAATTATTCACTTCCTTTAACAGTCTGAAATAGAAAGTTGAGCTGAATTTGGCTTTCAAAGACCTCATAAAAAAAGAGAAAGGTTAAGACTTTCTCAAAACAAGCCACTGTTAGGTGCTGATTAGCTTATGATGAAATAAGTTGAAAGACTTGAGTCCTATTTCCTTACCAGAAATTGACTTAAAGTGAGCTATTTATGCAAGGGCACTTAAAAAGCCCAAAAGCTCTCCAATTTTGAGTGTCCAATTTTTCTGAGTCTGATTTTTCTGTGTCTTTGAAATCAAACAAAATCAATAGAAGCTGAGACAATTCAACAGTTCTTAAAAATCAGGCTTTTGGTATTAAAAAATGGAAACAATCAAAGTTAGATCAACCTTTGCAAACTATAATCTAAACTTCTGGGACCTAGCCTTCCCATGATGTCAAGTGGACGCGACAGTATTATAGACAAAACTCTTCATATTAACTACAAACAGTATTCTGCACAACAGCTACCTTAAATAAGTAAAACTGCAGATGCAAAAGAAAACGCTGGGAAGTTGGGACACGCCACTGGCGTGGTCTCACATCGTTACATGTAACTCAACAGCCTTTTCGCTTTATGATACCTGTGGCAGGTACTGTACAGGGTGTGTCATGAAGGAGGGCGACAGGAGAGCACCCGTCCTCGCCCAAGGAAAAGACTTTGACCCTTGTGTTAGTCAACCACAGACTCACTGGGTACCTGAAGGGCTTAAAACTCATGTGCTTTCCCAGATGCAGTCTAATGGCTCTTTGCCTTCTTGAAAGGGACCTCCAACTTTCCACCTCTGTCAAATGAAGAGGAGACATGCTCGACAGGGACAGAATGTAATAAACAGCCCTGCAACACTGTGAAGATGCAGAAGGCCAAGTTTTAGAGAGGAAATGCATTACTTTGTTCTCACACACAACATTGTGCCAATAAGTATTTGTCATTGTATTCGTTAGGTGTGGCATCTCCAGAATAACTACCTGCTGCAGTTGAAGCTTCAAACAGATTGAAAAAGTTCCTTTGTGGGTAAAGAAAGGTCATTTTGTGCTTCTGTGGAGCACAGGAACACGCAGCCTGCAATACCTTGGCAATTTCATGTACCCACAAGGAAACAGATGACTATCCTCCATCGCAAAGTGCTGGCTTGCAAGATAACAATAATTTCATTTAAAAAAAGTTACAGAGCTTTTTGCAACTTTCTACTGTAATTATTTGACATGGAAAACAAGTTCAGTCTGGTCTTAACCAGGGGAAAACACAAACATCTACTAATAGAGAAGAAACAAAGTTTAATTTGCTCATGGATCAGTGAAGTCCAAAAATGTGCATTCATTTTGAGTGGACTCTGCCCTTTCTCGGCATTTAAGATTCAGGAGTGAGGGCCAGTGGAGCTTAGAGAGGAAGACAGCCCTCACAATTTGTATCCACTCCTGGCTTTACTGAATGCTGCCCCAGTAATAAAAAACCCAGAAGCTGAATACATCAATAAATAAATAAGGCTTTTTTAAGAGGTAAGTTTATTTTCTCAAAACCCCCCCTCCAAACAAAGAAACAAAAACCCTGGTTTCTTTATGATGGTAAAGGTCATGGCAATAACATAAGGAATATTCTCTTTAAGAAAGATGTTATAAAAATGTATGGATATAGAGCTAAAATATCACCTGCTAAATATGGGCTCTTAAAGAGGGCAAAACGGTGATAATGCAATTTCAATTCTTCTATCTTTAGCTCTTCAGGAGAAGATCCACTTGACTATGAGAGAGATGCTTTTGTTTAGATACAATAGTAGATAAAAATTTAGAACTACAACCTTGCGTTGGAAGTTATTCTGTTAGATTTTTAACTTTATTTAAATATATTGCTGTCGTGGTTTAGCAAATGTAAAGGAAGCAAAAGAGCAATCTAATAATCAATAGATTCTGCTTTATGGGAATAAAATTACAGTCCTTTAAAAAAAAAAAAAGAAATTACAAACTGTGGTTTGCATATCTTAGAAAGTCCATGTGCTGATGTATTAAGATAAAGGTAGACAGATAATGTATTTTAATAGTGGAATTTCTGATAGTGTGTATAGTCCTGATAAAGAATATTTTTGTATGAGCACCTTCATTTGCGCATTTAGAAATAGTTCTTTAAAGTTCTTCTGCTGATATTTTTCTCTGCATAAATCATAGCCACATTTGTGGGACTACCTGTTCAGTATCTAGCTTTTCATCTCATCTGCTCACAATTCAAAAGAACGGTAGCTTTCATCTCCTACAGTCGAGATCTAACGCTGATCAATCATACTATGGAGCTGCAGAGAGAAACTACAAATAATATAAACTCGAGAACCAGCTTTATGCCGGTGTGATCTATTTAGCATTTACAATTTGAGCAGGTAGGATCAGATAGACTTGGATTCTGCAAATCAAAAGTCCCATAAGTCTTATGTTATACTTAACAAATATTACATTGAGAATATCCTCCAACAATACGCTTAGATATCACTGGAAGTTAAATTTCTTTCTGTAGAAGATAACACACAGTTTTTGACGGGGCTCTCCATTCACTTTGGACAGCTGCTTCTATACCGTGCATATGCACATCACGGATCCGTCACTGAAAACCATCTTGAGAAATTCTAGTCTGCAGTAAACATTCAACAGTTCACCACTGAATTTATCTGAATGCAATAGTCTTCCTGAGTCGCTAATATTAAGTGTCTAAACCTCAGCTTACCGTATGCACAAAAGATTTCCAAGTAGCTTTGTGGGTTGTCAAGAAGCTAAATATTTGTAGTAACTCTAGACTGCTCAAACCCTTAATGCTTTCTTTGCAAAGGTTCAAGCCTTCAAAACATTTTGTGCCCAGCTCCATACCCAAGCAGACGATCTACAGTGTATTTTACAAACAGTATCTATTGGATACCTATGAGCGTCCAGCTCGTAACGGTGGCCAGCAGACCGTGATGGGCCATTGCGAAAGCCAGATGACTGTGTGTGGCTTCCCACGGTACTAGAAGGCAGAAAATAAGTCGAGTAGTTCCTCATCCAGCAATCTTGTTCATGAGAAGTCCTACCAAGGCGGGCCAGGAGGTGGGCACTGTTGGCGGCCAGACAGACCAGGGATGCATTGCCGGAGGCTTCAGTAATTCTCAGTTATGCCTCCTCTGGAAGGAATAAAGTGAATTTTGAGAAAGGCCGGGACTAGAGAGATGTAAAGCAGCCCCTGTCCATTCTCAGGGCACCCTGCGAGATGCAGGGTACAGCAGGGAGTAGAGATCTGCTCTTTGTCTTTTAGGTCACTCGCCTCCATTCAGATTCATTATTCCAACACCAAAATGAGTTTGTGCAACACTCAGAGCAGACAAAAGACTCAGTGGTCTGCAACTCTTGCAAAGGTCAGAGAGTTTTTTCAGTCATAATTATCTGAATAAAACTTGACACTTTACAAAATGTGCAGGGAGTATCATTTTCACTTTTTCTGAGTGGCGAAAGAGCGACGTGTATTGCATGAGCAATTCATTTACTGTCACGTAGATCGGTGGCAGACTCATGAAAAGAACATGTGAATCCTGGCTCAAATTATCCTCCTTCCAACTGGCAGATGATGTTGCTTCCCCCACTGACACTCCTTTCACTGAACAGTGGATTTAGACCGGTTTTCACGACCACTCCTGAACACTCCCTAGCGTGATCTTACATTTCTTCTTAACCCCACTGTTACAATGCAAATACAGCAAATCCCCGTTTCCCAGCCACCGCATATCAAGCTGAAATTGCACCAGCTGTTTGCCATAGGGATCACTCTAAGACAAAAAGCAAACCCTCACGTGCACTGCTCTTCTTTGCTCGGGGAACCATTTGATATTAATACTTGTTACCTTCAAAAACTGTTCTGATGAGGTTCAGTAGATTAAAGCATCTTTGCTAGCAGCAGCCTGGGCAGTTTTTCACAGCATCATAAATCATTGATGTAAAGAAACAAAACAAAACCCAAACGCAATTCCTTCCTTTACAGGTGACATGAACCTTGAAGAGTATTTTGCAAGAACTGGCTATAAAGGTTCCCTTGAAAAACAAGATTTGGAAACCTTAACCGATATATTCCAGCACCACATCCGTGCTGTTCCCTTCGAAAACCTCAGCATCCATTGCGGGGAGAAAATTACTTTGGAGTTCGAGCACGTTTATAACAAAATCGTGCGGAGGAAGCGGGGTGGCTGGTGCATGGAAAACAACCAGCTGTTGGGTTGGGTCCTGAAACGCCTGGGGTACGACACCAGCTTTCTGGGAGCGTATGTGTTCAATCCACATCAAAACGCGTATGCTACCATCATGACCCACCTCCTTGTAAAGGTAGTTATTGATGGCAAAGCCTATATTGTTGATGGAGGCTTTGGTGTATCCTATCAGATGTGGCAACCGATGGAGCTTGTGTCGGGGAAAGACCAGCCCCAGGCTCCCGGTGTCTTTCGCTTCACGGAAAAAAATGCCATCTGGTACCTTGAGAAAATGAGACGGAAACAATACATTCCCAATCAAAATTTCTCTAATTCTGATCTTCTGGAGAAAAAAGAGTGTCGGAAAGTTTATATGTTCAATCTGGAGCCACGGACAGTGGAAGAGTTCCGTTTCCAGTGCACGTACCTTCAGACATCTCCAGATTCCCTCTTTACAAAGAAGTCCATCTGCACCCTCCAGACCACTGATGGCTTTCGAGCACTAATTGGGTGGACACTCACTGAGACCACATACAACTACAAGGAAAATATGGATTTGGTGGAATTCATAACTCTTGAAGATGAAGAGGTGGAAAAAACACTCAAAGAGAAATTCAACATAACCCTAGATAGAAAACTTGTCCCAATTAACGTCAAAGGATTTTATACAATCTAGATGACCAGAAAAACCTACAATAATGCTACATATGTACAGTACCTTCCACTGTCTGCACAATCACTACTGTAAGATTATGGGATTCTCTTGCAGGCGACTGAAGGAAAAGTACATTAATACCAGATTAAAGTGAAATTCACTCTGGGAAAAATCAGGAATTTAAGACTCTTCTGTCAGGTAGAATTATTTGCTGTGAGATGACTGCAGTTCAATTTTTGGCACAAATGTAGGATCTGATTTGAATCTGGTTATAAACTTGGGTAATAAATATGTCTGGGAAATTTTGGAGTGCCTATAGCACACAAATAGGAGTATGGATTATTAATTGTGATATGCTGCCAACACATTTTCTATGGTTATTATAGGAAGAAAAGTCACATATGAGCATTTAGACAATGAAGTGAACATTTAGAACTTCATTTTTCACAAGATCTAACCACTTGCAGCTCATCTCATTTCTCTACCTTTAATGTAAGTAAAACAATGTCACCTTTGAAAGGAGCATTAGGAGGCATAATTCTCCCAGTGTCATCCTTAGACAAAACATAGTACAAAATGAAAATTATCATCATGTGCATCCCTTTTGTCATTGCTGCAGTAAACTGCCCAAAGTAATTTTTGGTATGTACGTTATTTTCTGGTGAAGCAAGTTGTATATATTGCACCATTACTGTGGCTGATGGGCTCTAAGGAGACACCTACAAGCTTTGCTTCTGGTAAGTAATCATCCTATAAAGGGTGAATGGTGCTTAAATGTCACAACTGGCTTAGATTTACTTGTATCTCAAAAGGGGTGGAAATTTTATATTTTTAGCATTGCAAGTATAACAAAGGTAGAACAATGAAGCTAATCCCACTATACCCTTAATATTGCCCTCTTTGTATATAGCAAATACGGGAGTCCATATGGCTGTCCTGAACGAGTACCACTTAGCACAGGAGCTTTAGTGTCACAAATGAGTTCATTCATCTGTATCAAAGTGAAAAAATCAAGGAGCCAGTCAAATCTGAAGGAAACCCTTTCTTTAGAATTATTTCACAAGCATGTTTCCCCATTTTTTTAATTTTACTTTTTTTTTTCCAAAAGCCCAAACAAGGAAACTACTGAGAAAGGGGAAACATTCTCAAATGCATTGAAAAAATAGCAGTAACACTGAAAAACACCCTTTCTCCACAATCCTGAGTATTGGGGAAATGTTGATTCCTCTCACTGATAGTGTGTCTTTTTGCTCAGAGACATCATCTGACCATAAATCTCATAAATGCTGTAAATGTATACCTGAAAATAAATAAAGGAAAATAAAAACATAAAGAGTTGCTGTAAATACAGCCTCCACCCCAAATGCATGACTCCTGCACACACCATTTGCAAAGTAGACGAGGTCTGTTCAATCATGCTATCCATCTGCTGGCCAACCCTCCCCACCACAAACATTTTGAACCAAACCGGCCAATATCGAACAAATTCGACAGCAGCATTGGAGGCGGTAAGTTCCTACAGGTTCCTGGACAAAGAGCTTGTAGGCTGAGGAGGAAGACGATCACTGAAGAGGAGGCCCAGTAGTCAACAGCTCTGGGGTGGCCACGGTGCGAGCCGGCTCTTCCCTGCCGACCGGCCGTGGTGGCAGCTGGTGACCGGGATGCACGTGTACCTGCACAGGGACAAGGAACCAAGGGCCAAGCAGGAGGCTTGGAAGATCTTACTGAGGTGGGAACAGAGTTTTTTTCTATAAATAATGGAACTAAGGACTTTTGTTCTCTAATTTGTGTTCATATTATTCTCTCACACTAAGGTCCCATTAAGGTTTTTTACTCCTTTCTAAATGATTGATCAAACTGAGGTGTTCCCCGAGACCCCAAGGAACATTATGAGCTTTAAAACACTCACCACCTCCATTCTAGCTGACAGAAATTCCCATCTGCATTCACCCAGGTCACCAAACCATATTTCTCTATACAATGAACTAGTTGTTTTCTGGTGCTGCTGCCTCTTGTCTAGAGGACAGCTATTAACAGACTGGTGATTTTGCCTCCATACTTCTCTAGAGATGTTCCTGCTGCTGCTCCCAGGTAATTGCTCAGGTTATGGAATGCAAGGGTTTCTTGGGCAGAAGTCTACAGACTCATATTGGTATTTTTAACTGTGCCTGCTATGATGGGACTCAACCCAGATACCCCCTTCTACTGTTCAGTTCTTACTAAAGATCTACGGGGCTGCCAATGACTAAAGCTTCAACCCTCTCTCTGACTCCATCTGTTGATAACCACTCTCTGAGTGGGATTTTTCCTCTCAATGTGACAATTATAACCAGGTCCTCACTGTGCAACATCAGATCACGCGAAGAAACGTCAACATGTACAGCTGAGGAACAGTTTCACAGTTTAGCTGAAGCTCCCCCAAAAGCTGACGAGAGCAGGTTATTGAGGTGTGAATGCCAGACCCAAAATGTCTCAAAGGTTTGAGGCGAGAATGGTGTAAAAACAAACAAACCCTAACAAACCCAGAGGTCTCATGCTGGGGTTCCATTAGCAAGGCATTATGTAGCAGGCAGATGCTCTCCCAGACGCAAAAGAAGAGAAAACTGAGTCCTTAAAGCATCAGCTCTCAGAGAAACTTGGATTCACATGCAGAAGAGAAACGGGATGTTTCACATCCTTCACCCACCACTATGCTTTATTAACACTCTCTCAGAAAAGTTTAATGAGAGCCTAAGCTATTGTGCAGTTTTCGTCGTTGACTGTTGTTGAAATGAAGCAGAAAAAACGCATATAACCCCCCACCCAGGAGTCTAATTCCATATACAATTTAGAAGTATGGTATTCCAATTAACAGAAAGATGAGAGAATTTCTTTTTAAGTCTGAATGCTGGATTAAGTCCCAGAATCCCAGCCCAGCTGCCCATTATACACACACTCAATGCCCAATGGCAACGACAGCCATCCGCGACTGTAGAATTGTATAATGGAGTGTCTTATTAGAAAACAAGACACATAACAGAAAAAACACAGTTCAAACTCCATGGCACCACTGAACATCTTCCCCCCTCCCCAAAGAATCAAAGTTTAATCAGCTCATGCATTACTAAAGGGAGGATACAGGATGGCTCACTTCAGTTGGACTCTGGTCCTGGACATTTTAAGATCCAATACTAAGCAGAATAAAAATAACAAAACAAGAAACATCAGCAAGAAAGATATTAAATACTTACATGTTTCCAACATCAGCAGTTATTACAGAAATAAACAGCCTGTCAAAGGGAGGGACAAAACTTCACCTGACAAGGGACTTGCTTAAACTTAACACTGTGAGCTGTCAGTGAGCACAAACTACAACGTACACTTTGCTTTGTTCGCTTTAATAGGTACCGTAGCATAACAGGCACAAACACTTCTGGTGTCTGGTAACTCTTTACCAATCACATTTTGCAAGTAGCCATTTTCTTCAACAAAAATGCTTACTACCTATCCCAACTTGCTTTTGTTCTCAAAGAAATGCTTTTAATTTAGAAACGTGACCACGTGGGAAAGTTCTACAGCTTAGGAAGTTGCACATGAAAATGTATCTGCATTTGAGACTGTCAGAGCCAAGAAAGCTTGAATTAATATAGGTTCGCATTATGAATATTTCACTGCTACACTTGCATCTCTGTCAAAGAGTAGTTCAAGCACAGATTTTTTATACAGCAGAATGTTTCTACCCTGGCTAGGAAGCTAGAGCCAGACTTAAAATACATACATGCATCTCTCTCTCTTTTATATATATACATATGTATTTATAAGGCTGGAAATATAGATCCTATCATAAAATGCCCGCTTGTAATTCTGGGCACTTAAAGTGCATTTAAAAAGTCATGTAGGGCTAATTTTTAGTTTTGTCTTGCTCACGATAATGCACTACGAATGGTGCTTTTAAAGGTGCATTTTACAAACTCCCCATGAATAAGAGACTGTGCCAAAATTTAGTAGCTGGTCTTACTATAGCATTTCAATAGCTCACCTAGCCACCACCTAACATGAACAGCAGAGCAACCAGCTTTGAAGATAATAAACCAAAATCTATCATTTCTTCACAGGTGGTGTTGGGCATGTTTAAGAAACAGAAGAACCACCCCTTCCCCTCTCCTCCCCCCTCCCAGATTCCAGAATCATGGATTTTCTAGGAAGGTGTTTAGAGTTCACTCACGCTCTTACCCACATTTCCAGCCATCCATCAGGAAATGACATAAAATTAAGGACCAGCATATGGCAGAACACCCTTTAACTACGCAAAATCACCCCTCATTGGACTGAAGAGAACTCTGCAATGCAAGAGAGCTCTCTGCATAGAGCATTGGCAAAGAAAGACTTCACGCAGAGTTCATCTGAGCCACTAACTGTTATCAAAATTACCCAAAAGCTCCTTTACATGACACCACCGGAACCTTCTCCAATTTACTGTCTCTCAGGGTGTGCAATTGCAGTGACATCTCCTGGTTGCTGGTGGTTCACTAGAACACACTTTCCCCCCTCAACTATCCAACATAGCTATGCAGAAATTCTCTCTCCATTGACAAAATGTGTTCAGATAGAGGAGAATCATTTTCCTACTAATAAGCAAGAAAGAATAATGGGATATATTCTGAGTTTTTCTTGTGATGACCAACAATAAATCATTTCTTAGCTCAGGTCACATCTTCCATGGGAAGAAAAATGTCTTGCCATCATTAACTCCTTTTCAGCTAGCAATAATATATGATCAGGTTTTAAGTAATTGAACCAGTAGCATTTAATTAGCTCTGAAAAACTATCTCAGATCATGAATCACTGACTTTCCACCTGTATGAGGTCCCCTTACTAGCTTAAAAGTATATTTCTCTTTCCATGTGTGATCCATCTTGAATATCTAATGAGGTGCTCTTGATATACGGATTATAGTTCATATATCACATGCAAAACACAGCAGACGCACAGTCTCTTTCTTTATATAATTGAGTTTCATGTCTTGCTTCACCCAGTTGTTAAAGAAAAAAAAAAATAAAGCCTCTTGTGTCCATGACAGAATGGCCACTACTTGCTTAAATTTAACAAATTCCTCTTTCTCCAGAAAGTCAGCATTAAGGATGAATAACTTAGACATCTAGCTGGGGACATGAAGTAACAGAAAGAAATATTTCTTGTTGAAAGACAGGATATGGAGAACTGCTACGGTTTTAGACATGACAACTGACATTTTTCAATGGGCCCAGAGCACTGACTGACCAAAGAGCATGTTTCCGTTCTAACATTACTTCAGATGTCTTCACTGCACACTACACAGAAAAAAATCAGTGCAGTCAACTAATATCTGGGGACATCTGTGGCCAGCACAAACCAGGATCACTTCTTGTATCACATTGTAGTAAGCAACATTTTTTACATCAAAATAGCTAAACCGCAATCATTAACCACACAAGAAAATCAGTTTTTATTCAGCGTTCAAATAGGTTTCTGAAGCCGTTATTATACTTCTATGACAAGACCTAGATAACTGTAAGATTGGAATTTTTTTTTTCTGAAAAAGAGGCAAGATTAGCAAACTTCTTTTGGAAGACAGAAATTAAGACTCACAATCTGCTCAAGTGTCAAACTGTAAACATTGCCAAATATTTAGCTTGCTCTATAAAAAAAAAAGTTTTACTACAAACCCCTCTATTTTTAAATGAGCTTTATAAAAAATAAAATTCAACAAAATAGATTTTATCTATTCTTTTCCCATCTTATTTTTAGCACAGTAAAAAAAAAAACCAAAACAAAGAACCCCAAACATGTTTCTGCCGACTTTTTTCAATTTGAAGATAGCAAAGGTTTTCACTTTCATAATAAAAAAAAGCAGTGAAAGTGGAACTGCCTTACTGGATTGGACAAAGTTTGTCTTTACTCCAAATACTTCTTTCAGATGTTATCATAAATTGTAAACAACGTTGCTCTCGATTGCATATTACACTCAATCTAGTTATGCACAACATTTAAAAAGACTGATGGGATTAGTGCCCCGCACATTAAAAGCTGCTGAGAGGGGAAAGGATGTATGACATCCATTATATACACATCCACTTTGAAAAATGTTTGTCACGTGGACGGTAGAAATTTCAGTGAGAACAGACTCAGATTTACAAACCTGTTCTTTGCATTAAACAGCAAGAACTCCAAACAACCTCCAGTTCGTGATACTATTATTTGGTAGATAACATTTCTATTAGCTCCAGTTGTGTAGTTGACATTACTCCTGAGGTTTTAAGAACTTTTTCTTAGCTTTTTTGCTAGGTCTTGTGTTACTACTCCCATCTTCATCTTCATCCTGGAGTACACGCTGGTCTCTCTTTCTCAAGAATTTCTTCCCTATTGTTCCCACTAATGTTTCATATCTGTAAGGATAGCAAAAAATTTACAGCTTTTACTAAAATCAGAGAAAACTTCAATGGAGCAAATCATAAATCTAATTAACAATTTAAGTGGTGTAAAAAAGCTGGTCATCAGAAGCTTAAGAAGCACAAGTACTACATGATCACTCATTACAATATTATTTATTCTGATAGTTTGGGTTTGTCAGCAATCTGGAACAAGGAGGGAATTAGCATGGAATACCTGGATATCAAAGGGCAGAAAACCCTTAAAGATATTTTATCCCAAAAAGTGATGGAGATTCCACTGAATACACACCAGAATTCCTGGAAAGTCAGTTCAGTAAAGTACTGTATCTGTTGGGTTTTTTTCTTCATTTATTTTGTTTGTTTGCTTTTTGTGTTTACTTTCCCACACACAATGCAGTAACATACCATATTCCTGGCTAATATTGATCATGTTGTAAAATATAACTCACCTTCTGGCCATTTCTTCATCTGACACATCAGCCTCCATTTTATCATCCACTTCGATTTCTTCTTCCTTGCACCTAGAGTTCATTTGGATCATTAACTTCTGAAAATGAAATAAGAAGTAGCTTAAATTTGTAAGCCTGACACAATGGCTGAAATATGCTGAAATTCACTGGTAGGAGAAACACATAAAAGGTAAGAACCAAATTTAATAATTATTTGCTGTTCCTGGTCAGGCTAGAGTATATTGTCACAAAAACTCATGAAGAAAAGGCAACATGCCTGCCTGTTGCTAAGCTGAGCTTAGAGATTGCCTTTGGGAAAAGGGGCAACACAGAGACAGGGTTTCAGTGAATTGTACTATTCAAACATCCTCAAGAGCACGCCAGACATCTTCAGGAGATGAGAGAATTAGATCATAATTAATTTTTCATTGTGATGTTAGCACATAGTCCTTGAAATGGTTTTGTTAAGAAGGAAAAGTATCTGCAAGGATTTACAATAAACTACTAGCAAAAAACATGAAGGAATAATATGCCAAGTCACAGTGAGAGCAAGTTCAAAATAACTAGAAGAATCCCCTAGTAAATCACCTTGTATAGCCTTTTGCATATCTCTTAGTCTTTATACCTTCATCCTCCTGCTTCAGTTCAGTGGTAACATTTGTATTACTATCTCAGTGTAGTTCTAACAGCATGAAACATGCCAGAAGGAAATTAGACTCTCTTGCCCAGAATTTTTACTTTGGAACTTGAAGCCCTTACTTACACGAGTAAGTGTTGAATAAATAGGGTTGAATGTTTATAGGATTGGACTCTAAATTAAATGGCAGGAGGAAAAGTGAGCTATCATTTTGGTGAGCAGCATGTGGGACAGTTTCCGTACTTCAGCAAGGGACAACCTGCAGGAGTCGTGCAATTACTGACCATCAACACAACATGATGAAAAACTTCTATTTACCAGATGCTGCACTGACCAACATTTTGGTTTGAATCACAGACTTCCTGTACACGGGAGGATTTATGGAACGTGCTGCAAAGGCCAAACAGCATGCAGTGTCAACACTCAAATCCCCATCCCCAAGGGCTTCAGTCCTAATGTGAGACCACCTCAAAACAGAACATTTAAATGGTACCTCAATTTCTGGATTGAATCCTTTGAAGGACATTCTGCCATACAGTAGATCCTCACATGGCATAAAGCTCCTCTCTTCTATTACAAAGCTCCTGCATGAAACCCAAACCCAGCACTTTGTCAAACGGTGCGCTATAAAATAATCAAATTAAACAAATGCAAAAAGCATCTGCTGTCTTCCCCCCACACAAATAAACAAAACCACAGTGTATTTTAAAGCATCAACTACTTTCTGAAGCTTAATTGCTCTGATAAATCTTTCAATACAAGGAGCTTGGAGTGCAAAGGAATACTTTTTGCCAGTAAAGCTGTGCCAGTTCCACAAGCAAAATTAACTCTCCTGACAAAAAACCCTCTTTACTGGTATGATTCCACCTACATTAATGCTTTTGCCAGAATAAAAATACCACATAAATATCACTCTCCAGGTGGCATTACTATACCAGCAAAAACTTCTAATTAATTTTTCATTGTGATGTTACACCTGGCATTAGCTGAGTCTGTCAGGATACAAAACACTGTCTAATTCTCTGTTCAGCAGAGAAAGATTTCCACCTTCTCCCTCCTTTTTTCCTCTTTTAATGAGCATGGAGCGAGAAAAGAAACACGACCCTGAGGTGTTCATAAGACACGTGTTAGATAAAAGTACTTCCGCGAATTGTTCCATCCTTCTTTTCCTTGCACATATATGCACCTCTTCCCTCATCCTCTTCATCTTCCACGTAAAACAAACTCCTACAGTCATAAGAAGTCAGGCTGAAGAGATCAAGCTCATTTTCCTACCTCAAGGCAGGATCAGTTAAACATGTACCATGAACAGCAGAGGTCCATCTAACCTGTCCTGAAAAGACTTCCAATGATGAAGAATCCAGTGTCTCCTTAGGCATTCTATTCCAGTGCTTCAATAGCCTTATTGTTAGAAAAATTCTCCTAATGTCCACCTTGAACCTTCCTTATGCAACTGAAGCTCAAATACCTTTTTGTCATACCCAACAACAGTAATGGAAAATAGTTTATCAATGACTTTATTCGTCTACAGCTAATTCAGTGGATCCCAGCTTTTTAAAAACTATGTATGGTCTCCCTCAATGGAATTTTCATCCTCTTTTCAAAGGACAAAAATCAAGCAATTTTAAAAGTAGTTCTCCTGCTATTTAAAGCACCTTTCTAAATAGCAGGAACGGACATTTTATTTCTTATTAGCTAAGCCTTCCTTTATTTTTGCTGTTCTCTCTCCTACTTCAAAAACAGGATTTGAAGCAAACTGGACTCAAAAAGACAGAGCTGTCCTGAGTGGACCTGTGTGACTGAAGGTGAATTTACTAACACAAGGTTTCAAACTTCTTTTTTCAAATGAAGGGAAAAAACAGCAGTGAATGAACTAGTCCCTGCCTGAAAAACTAATTACATGCATCTAGAAGAATGTGTGAGTGAAAGAAAACAACACACACAAGAAATGAAAGTAGGTTAAACTGCACTAGGCAACCTTGACAATGTCCCTGAAAATAAATAATAAAAAAGCTGTAATGTCACTCTGTCATTATTTTTGCTTCTGTTAATTGGTTATTAGCAATACTTCTTTTATAGGAAAAAAATATGTACATTCTATTCCCACTCCACAACAATCCACTGATGATAAAAAGTACAAAAGGGTACAAGCTTACTCTTTCTCCTTTAGATCTGGTAAATCAAGATACCAGTGTTCTTCACTAATTATCTTCTTTTCCTCCTCTTCTAGCTGTTTTTTAGTTTGTGAATCCAAACCCCTTTGCATGAACTAAAAAGAAAGACACATAAACACACAACTTTAGTTTTTTGCATCATGAGTACGTTCTGAACATGCAGTAACTGCATGATGACAATTATCTATTACATAACATTTAGCAGTTGATAAAAAGTAAATGCTCTTTATGATTTTTCTCTGGGTTTGGTCTAAGTTTGGGCAAACAGGTAATGGAAAAGTAAATAACTGCTGATCACAGCTATCTACTGGAAGCCAACAGCCAGCCACATCTGTACTTACACACAAAGAAACAGACCTTTCCTGGTTAGTTTTGATGGACCTGAGATGTTACAACTCCATAACTTTGCTAAGATTTTTCTAATGTTTCAACAAAGGCCAGAGAGAACATAATGGTGTTAAGAGTTATCGCTGTGTATCAGAAACCACCACCACCCATACAAACAGCACTGGAGCTCTGAGCTAGAGCTAGGTCATACCAGGTCGGCCATTTTTTGAAACTTCTATACTTTCAACCATCCTCTTCTTTTCTCAGATTTAATTTAATGAACTGGCTTGCATTTGTAGCTCTGAAGGCTGGAACCTGCCTCTGGAAGTAGAAAAAAGTAACTGAGGCTACAAAAAGAAGTCTTCTGTGTCCAGCTATGCTAAAGGAAGATGTTACCAGCTCTTAACTTCTCATTGATGACCCACCAAAGTACCAGTCAAGCAGCATGGGTAAGTACCTGTTAACTCACTGCAGGAACAGTCTGCCAAATTAGTTAAGACCAATAACCTAGTTTAGGGTAAGACTGCTATTTTTGCCTAATACAAGGACATTCCTATAAATTGCTTCCTTTGCTGTGATAATCTTTGGCAGAGGACAGGAACAGGCAGATAGAAAGAGTAACCTCTCTCACAGCTGGGAGTAAAAGAGGACATCTGTCACAGTCTATGACAAATTGCTGACAGTGCAAAACTACAGACCTGAGATATGTGAAACATCCCTTTTATTTCCATTTGTCTCAAGTCAGGTGCCTGAACTAAGTGACAATTTAAGTATCAACAATGTTAAACAAACATGCTGGAAAAAACAACTCTTTACAACTTTATGGTAATAATCATAATATTCTCACACCCCTAGGAGCTGGGACCTCCCTTAGGGTCTACAGAAAGTGTTCGAATAACTGTATCTGTCAGAGGTGTACATTTATACCAATGTTATTCCCAGCTACAGGCAAGTCTACCAGTACAGTTTATATGCACTCCAGTACAAAAACTGTTTTGTGGCTATCAAAGCATACCTGTATGTGTACAAAGCAACTAAGCACCACGCAGCCGCTCACTCACACCCCCCCACCCAGTGGGATGGGGGAGAAAATCAGGAAAAGAAGTAAAACTCGTGGGTTGAGATAAGAATGGTTTAATAAAACAGAAAAGAGGAAACTAATAATGATAACATTAATAAAATGACAACAGTAATAATAAAAGGATTGGAATGTACAAATGATGTGCAGTGCAATTGCTCACCACCCGCCGCTCGACACCAGTTAGTCCCCCAGCGGCGATCCCCTGCCCCCACTCCCCCCAGTTTATATACTAGATGTGATGTCCCATGGTCTGGAATACCCCTTTGGCCAGTTTGGGTCAGCTGCCCTGGCTCTGTCCTGTGCCAACTTCTTGTGCCCCTCCAGCTTTCTCACCAGCTGCGCATGAGAAGCTGAAAAATCCTTGACTTGAGACTAAACACTACTTAGCAACAACTGAAAATGTCAGTCTGTGGTCAACATTCTTCTCATACTGAACTCAAAAACATAGCACTGTACCAGCTACTAGGAAGACAATCAACTCTATCCCAGCTGAAACCAGGACAGTGTGCAACACTGCAGAGGAATTTTGTATCAACTAATTTTACCCCTCTCATTTAGAGCAGCATCATTTATGTGTTTAGATAAGCCTGCAGGCTGACAGGTAACGTGCCAGTGGGGAACACTAAACCTGGAGATAGTTTAGGTCCCAGCTAAAATGGGCTTGGTTGGGATAAAGCCCAAGAAGGCATCACAAAACACTTCCCTCCAACAAAAAAACCTGCATTACTGAGCTTATTTAAAATATATAGGTCACACAGATGCGTACTACGTGTATTACATACACCTCCCACAGCTCTTCAGTCTTTACAAAATGCCCAAGCAAACCAAACCAAACTCTGAAGTAAAAGCCAATATAGTGCTAGTGTCTCATTTTCCATTTATATTTCTATTTGCATCCATTGTACAAGATCTTTAATGAAAGAAAAATTGACTTTTTGTTTTCTGAGTCGCTCCAAAATATGTCAAAGCTTTCCAATTAAAATTACAGTATCTTCTACAGGAAAATAAGTGAATCTATCATGTGGAAAACCATATTGCTCAAGGAAATTGGTTAGCCAGTCAGAAATCTCAACAGGAGAAATTCTGTTACAAGCATCCAATTAAATAATCATTTCACATGACATTTTAAAGATTTTTGTTCCTGAAGATGACTACAGGAATAACTAGATAAAAAATATGTGATCACATTTATCTAAAATGTAAACACACATGGATGAATTAAAAATATATCCATTGTAATAGACACAGAGTATGTAAGTCAGTAGCTGAGTGGTTATTTGGATTAGTTTCCCAAGCAATGGGACCTGGATCAAATGATGCAAGATCTAAAAGCATGAGCCATCCTTCGACATCAAGCGGTGAGCACACGTGGCTAAGTACTTGGCGCAAGTGGTCTTCAAAACGCTACCACTGACCCCGTGTCACCTTTGGGAGCCACTTCACCCGCCTGCTGAATTGTGATAATGCATCTTATCAGTACCTGTGGAGGCAGCTGCTGAAGGATTAATTAAAACATTTATAAACAAGATGATCTGCAGAAGGAAAGTGCTAAATTCAAGATCTGTGTATGACCTTTTCAAAACCTACTCATCTCTTCAAAGCTGGTTGGTTACTACTGCCCGGACTGTAAATCTGCAAATGTCAAGGCAGCACATTCATAGGCTGGTTCTCCACAGCCTTCCAAGGAAGAAAATGTAAAAACTGGCTTTTGAAATCTCCAGGGGGTTAATAAACTGGCAAACAACAGGAGCAGAAATTTCACTTTAAAAGAGAGTATTACATAAAAATAAGAAAAAATAATGATGTTGCAATCCAGGTTATGGGACTAAGCTCAACATCTACCCCCTTTTGAGAGTGAGGCAAGATGTGTTCCATTCCCTCTATCCATGAGTTTCAGTCTTTCGTTAGCAACATCTGTTAATTGGGGTAAATATTCCACCATCTTACTGTAGCAGAGTACACTTTGCGTGAAAGATTGAACTGAAGTCAGCTAAACTCCTTTCAGCCAGTGTCTGAAATATAGTCCCATATAAATATGTGGGGGAAAAAATGGTTAAGTAAAACACCACAAGCAAGAAGCCACAAAGGCCCTGTCATAATCAGTTATAAAAATTTAATGGATATTAACATTTAAAAAAAAAGTAATGGGAACTCAACTTGTACTGGTTGTTTTCCAGCAATAAAGAACCATCAATCACAGGAGAATGTACTCTACCAAATTAGGTGTTGTAGTACACGATGTGAAGCGGAATCCATTAGCCAGTAAGCCGAGACTAATTTCACATGGGTCTTGACATAAGATTCACAATTCCAAGGTAACAGGCACGTCATGATGTTACTAGCAGCCAAGTTACAAATGCAAGCATTTACGAGTTGGGAAAGGCGGTTAACACTGCCGTTCAGGTGGGGTATTTTATTAGCCATTAATGTAAACAGACAAAGAAATGCACACCAAGGAGAAAAGAAAGAAACCTGGATCACACCCTCCAGTTTATAACCCCTCTGAGACCTCTCGCCAGCGTTTAAGCAGCCCGGTATTCGGTGGCAGCTCTCTGAAATCGCCTCTTGCCGGCCGAGTTGGAGAGGAGCAGCCCCGAAAGCTGCAGGCCTGAGTGAAAGGGCAAGCGACGCTGAAGACGCACGCACACCTATTTTAAAGCGAGCCTTACGGGGCGTAGGAGACGGTCACTCACGCCCGTGTGTCAGACGAGGGCGGACACGCAAAATGCCCCCAAGCCAGGCCAGGGGCTCCCCTCGCCGCCCC